GAAGATTTGGAAGAAGCACTCTGACAATAAGTGAGTTTTGCAAACATCTGCTAAAGGCGTTCCTCTTGCCCATCAGATGTTCAGATGTCTGAAAGTGGAGATGGTTGTGACAAATATCAAGATCAAGGGCCGTTTTAGACCAGCTGTTGGGCCCGACAGAAAACTCAGTGACAGGACTTGTCACAAACAGATGCAGCTAGAGATGTGTGCCGCTTGAAACGTGCAGCTTGGTACAGGGCTCGACAGAATAAGGCAATCACTGTAGCATGATACGTGTTTCCATTTCTCGTCGTTAAACTATTTATCTTTCTCCTCTTAGTTATACAGCACGTGTTTCTTGTTACGTGTTGTTATAGTTGCTGTTGTGGTTGTTGTTGTTGTTGTTATTTTGGTTGCTGGTCTGGTTGTTTTTGTTGTTGTTATTGTTGTTTTCGTGGTTGTTGTTGTTTTTTTCTTCTTCTTTTTCGAAGTCGTCGTTGTTGCTTCTCATCTTCCTCCTCTTTTTCTCCTCGTTGTTCTTCTCTTTCTTCTTATTCTTTATTTCTGTTTCTTCTTCTTCCTCTTCTTCTTCTTTTTCTTCTTCTTCTTCTTCTTCTTCTTCTTCTTCTTCTTCTTCTTCTTCTTCTTCTTCTTCTTCTTCTTCTTCTTCTTCTTCTTCTTCTTCTTCTTATTTCTGTTTCTTCTTCTTCTTCTTCTTCTTCTTCTTCTTCTTCTTCTTCTTCTTCTTCTTCTTCTTCTTCTTCTTTTTTCTTCTTCTTCTTCTTCTTCTTCTTCTTCTTCTTCTTCTTCTTCTTCTTCTTCTTCTTCTTCTTCTTCTTCTTCTTCTTCTTCTTCTTCTTCTTCTTCTTCTTCTTCTTCTTCTTCTTCTTCTTCTTCTTCTTCTTCTTCTTCTTCTTCTTCTTCTTCTTCTTCTTCTTCTTCTTCTTCTTCTTCTTCTTCTTCTTCTTCTTCTTCTTCTTTTCTTCTTCTTCTTCTTCTTCTTCTTCTTCTTCTTCTTCTTCTTCTTCTTCTTCTTCTTTTTCTTTTTCTGCTTCTTCTTCTTCTCCTTCTTTCTTTTCCTCCACCTCTTTTTCTTCCTTCTCCTTCTCCTTTTTTGTTTGTCGTCAACAGCATTTCATTTAAGTATGTCCATAAGGTTATATAATAAAGTGAAACATTAAATCACTCTTTATTAATCTATAAATTTGCTACCAGAAAATACCCTCTAGTGTATGCCCTAGTTCATATAGATTATCATGAAGGACTTATACAATACAACGGTACTCTCTGTCTGAAAGTCAGCGGCAGTAGATTCTTCTCTACTTCTTCCAAAAAGTATGGTCGTGCTGTGTTCTGCTCTCCTGAATGTCTGGCTGTCTATACATATCCAAATGGGTCCGCCTGTTGAAGTAGTTGTCTTTGTATTGTAACCTCACCGTTTAGTGGCTATGGTTGTCTCTGATTCAACCATCTTTTCCATTGTCACTTTTTGTCCCAGTGGCTTGGCTAATCTTATCGCTTGCTGCATGTTCTCTCTCTCTCTCTCTCTCTCTCTCTCTCTCTCTCTCTCTCTCTCTCTCTCTCTCTCTCTCTCTCTTTCTGCCTGTCTGTGTCTGTCTCTCTATCTGTCTGTCTCTCTTTCTCTCTCTGGCACTTTTAGTCTCTGTCTCTCTCTCCCTCTTCCACCACCTCTCTCTCACTCTCTCTCTCTCTCTCTCTCTCTCTCTCTCTCTCTCTCTCTTCTCTCTCTCTCTCTCTCTCTCTCTCTCTCTCTCTCTCTCTCTCTTCTCTTTCTCTTCTGCGTAGCCTATTTGAGGAACCATATTCCACAACAAATTTTTTAATCGTGGGATCGTTATTTAATTGTGGGATGCAATTTTTTTATTTTTTTTTTTTTAATTTTAAAGCCCCACCCTGGCTCTTGCCAGGGGCCGCTATATAGCCCGGCCATAAGTATGGTCTGATGGGTGAACGCGGTTTCTGGGACCTCTCCACGGGTGATCCTCATCCACATGGTGATACTTTGTGTCATCGGGAGTTTATCGCTTGTGTTATGTACTAGTGGGGTTAAATGTATTACTACTACTACAACGAATTGAAAATATCACCAACCCCTACACAGAGAATCCGAAATCGTAAGCCGAATGTACCTGTATTTATGTATAGACTGCAGTGTTTTAATGGAAAATCGTTGATGTAAAATAGTGGGGTCATGTGCTGGAGATATTAGGGTTACATGTCATTTGTGTAAAATGTTTTTATAAACGGGAGTGTAATCTGTATTTCCAATTGCCCCCATAGAGTAGCTATGTGTCTTTTGTAAGTGACTGACTCCTGACTAATGTCGCGGAGGTCGCTGCGCTATTGTTGTCCGCCGCCGAATCAAAAGGTCGCCGTGTGCCATAACGTGTGAATAGACTAGTATTATACTAGTCCATCTTGACCGAGTAATATACTTTTTTTTTAAATATCCAGAAACCATGAGTTGTGAACCCTTTGGCTTGGTACTATGGATATCGAAACACTTCGGCCTTGATTCCATGATGTGTACCGTAAATCTGGGAGATATGTGGCTTTTCTGCCTACCCCCGGGCTTGAACCCGGACCACAGGGAGTTCGTCACACGGTCACCGCGCAGTCCGGTTTAACCAACTGCGCTAGCGAGCCGGGTAATATACTTTTCTTACACAATACTAAGACAGGAGCCATCCCCGCCTTAATCTCTAAGACGGGAGGAGTTTCCTGATTTTATATTTTATGGGAGCAGTCTCCTGATCTTATTTAATACTATGGGAGCAGTCTCCTGATCTTATTTAATACTGTGGGAGAAGTCTCCTGATCTTATTTAATACTATGGGAGAAGTCTCCTGATCTCATTTAATACTATGGGAGAAGTCTCCTGATCTTATTTAATACTATGGGAGAAGTCTCCTGATCTTTCTGCGTATCTTATTTAATTACTATGGGAGAAGTCTCCTGATCTTATTTAATACTATGGGAGGAAGTCTCCTGATCTTATTTAATAATATGGGGAGAAGTCTCCTGATCGTATTAATACTAAATGGGAGTAGTCTCCTGATCTTATTTATACTATTTTAAGTCTCCTGATTCATTTAATACCCAGGAAGAAGTCTCCTGATCTTATTTAATACTATGGGAGAAGTCCCTTATTTAATACTATGGGAGAAGTCTCCTGATATTCATTTAATACTATGGAGAAGTCTCCTATCGTATTTAATACTATGGGAGAAGTCTCCTGATCTTATTTAATACTATGGGAGATCTCACATGGTAATACTTGGTGACAAGTCTCCTGAATCTTATTTAATACTATGTTAGAAGTCTCCTGATCTGGGTACTATGGGAGAAGTCTCCTATTCTTATTTAATACTATGGGAGAAACGACTGATCTCATTTAATACTATGGGAGAAGTCTCCTACATCATTTAATACGATCGGAGAAGTCCTCCTGATCTACCTGTATACTATGGAAGAAGTCTCCTGATCTTATTTAATAATGGAAGAAGTCTCCTGATCTCATGTAATACTATGGAGAAGTCTCCTGATCTTATTTAATACTATGGAGAAGTCTCCTGATCATTTAATACTATGGGAGAAGTCTCCTGATTAATTTAATACTATGGGGAGAAGTCTCCTGATCTCATCTGTAATTTATGGGAGAAGTCTCCTGATCTCATTTAATACTATGGGGAGAAGTCTCCTGATCTTATTTAATACTATGGGAAAGACTCCTGATGTCATTTAATACTATGGGAGAAGTTCCTGATCTCATAATACTATGGGGAAGTCTCCTGATCTCATTTAATACTATGGGAGAAGTCTCCTGATCGCATTTAATACTATGGGACGAAGTCTCCTGATCTCATTTAATACTATGGGAGAAGTCTCCTGATCTTATTTAATACTATGGGAGAAGTCTCCTGATCTTATTTAATACTATGGGAGAAGTCTCCTGATCTCATTTAATACTATGGGAGAAGTCTCCTGATCTTATTTAATACTATGGGAGAAGTCTCCTGATCTCATTTAATACTATGGGAGAAGTCTCCTGATCTTATTTAATACTATGGGAGAAGTCTCCGATCTCAAATACTATGGGAGAATGTCTCCTGATCTTATCTTAATACTATGGGCTTGAACTCCTGATCTTATTTAATACTATGGGAAGTCTCCTGATCTCATTTAATACTATGGGAGAAGTCACCTGATCGCTATGGGAGAAGTCTCCTGATCTTATTTAATACTATGGGAGAAGTCTCCTGATCTTATTTAATACTATGGGAGAAGTCTCCTGATCTTATTTAATACTATGGGAGAAGTCTCCTGATATTATTTAATACTATGGGAGTAGTCTCCTGATCTTATTTAATACTATGGGAGTAGTCTCCTGATCTTATTTAATACTATGGGAGAAGTCTCCTGATCTTATTTAATACTATGGGAGAAGTCTCCTAATATTATTTAATACTATGGGAGTAGTCTCCTGATCTTATTTAATACTATGGGAGCAGTCCCCCTCACTTCATGATTAATATTCGCCATCTTGGTTGGGACAGTTGTTCGTCCTGTTTGTGTTTACAAAATGTCACTTTTTTATGTGCAAGTCAGTGTGTGCATGTTTATGTTTGTACATGTGTGTGTATGTGTGTGTGTTTATGTGTGTGTGTCTAACAGTGCCACAGATAAACAAAATAAATATACCTTTGAGGATCTCACTAAAACTTTAGTAAAAGTACATTTGCAGTACCTTATCCCCTGCATCCATCCAGTGCTCCGCCTGGAGCACAAACACACATTACCTGAGTCCGATCCAAGCTTTGATAACCCAGATCCTAATCGCCAAGGACAATAGTCTCCAACCTCCAAGCGATCATAGTTGGAATCAGTTAGCCATCCAACCGTGATCATCTCTTCTAGCAGTTCAGATACAGAACAGATGAAAGACTCGCACATAATGGAAACTGACCATAGAATTGATCTGTTAACTGACTGTAGCTGAGATGACAAGAACAAACCTGACTGTAGCTGATATGACAAGAACAAACCTGACTGTAGCTGACATGACAAGAACAAACCTGACTGTAGCTGACATGATAAGAACAAACCTGACTGTAGCTGAGATGACAAGAACAAACCTGACTGTAGCTGAGATGACAAGAACAAAACTGACTGTAGCTGAGATGACAAGAACAAACCTGACTGTAGCTGAGATGACAGGAACAAACCTGACTGTAGCTGAGATGACAGGAACAAACCTGACTGTAGCTGAGATGACAAGAACAAAACTGACTGTAGCTGAGATGACAAGAACAAACCTGACTGTAGCTGAGATGACAGGAACAAACCTGACTGTAGCTGATATGACAAGAGCAAACCTGACTGTAGCTGAGATGACAATAACAAACCTGACTGTAGCTGACATGACAAGAACAAACCTGACTGTAGCTGACATGACAAGAACAAACCTGACTGTAGCTGACATGACAAGAACAAACCTGACTGTAGCTGACATGACAAGAATAAACCTGACTGTAGCTGACATGACAAGAACAAACCTGACTGTAGCTGACATGACAAGAGGAAACCTGACTGTAGCTGACTTGACAAGAACAAACCTGACTGTCGCTGACAAGACAAGAACAAAACTAACTTTAGCTATTATGATTGCGCCTTATGTTGAGAAGACAACTGACAAATGTACACACAGTTGTAGTATTCAAATGACTGAGCTATAGAAGCGAGAGAAAGATAGCTCTGTTGGTATGACTGGGTGGTAGAGGTTATAGCTGGGTAGCACTGTTGCTTACCGGTAGTCACATGTTGAACCACTCCTTCTCCCCCCCCCCCACTCCCCCCAACCACTAAAGTAGGAGACATTATAAATGGCTTTGTTTAGATGGTCTAGATTGATTATACAACGGATCAACATCATAGCACAAGGGTAGTAAAACGAAAGTGCTCTACTTCTGTTTCAAGCCTGAGTTCAAATAATTTCAGCGCAGTGCACGAACTCCGTAGCAACAGCGAGGATCCTGAAATTCTTTTGGTAGATTTTTCAACTCCAAATGTTGTACCATGATAAGAAATTGTGAAACTTGACAAATCTTGACAGAAACTCTCATCTTGGAAGCAGAAGCAACTTAGTGACATTACAAGGGGACGTAACCATCAGGATGTCTACATTTTAGATTATAAGAACCGGATACACCTTAATCATCATCATCATCATCAACATCATCATCATCATCATCATCATCATTATCAACATCTTTATCATCATCATCATCATCTACATTATCTTCTTCACCATCATCATCTTCATCATCATTATCATTATCATCATCATCATCTTCATCATCTTCATCATCATCATCATCATCATCATCATCATCATCATCATCATCATTAGGGCTCGCCGACAGACGCAGTAGTTTATTTTCCCCACTTTGTGTTTTCTAGCGTGGTGTAGCATTTCACTGGGGTCGGTGATCTTCTGTCGTTGTCTTCCTCACTGTCAGTCTGTCTGGTCACATGAGCCAGGTGGCTCTGTGACACACAGAAAATATGTGTCAACGTGAAGAAGTGACAGCTGCCGTAAAGTAGCGGCTAGACGCTGGCCTGTGTGTCAGAAAGTTGCGGGTTCGGGTCTAGACGAAGCGGGGACTTTTTCAAAAAAATAAAATAGGCTCCCAGGTCGACCCAACCTTGAGTGGGTAGCAGGTATAGTTCTGGGAAGTAAAAGCCGTCAGCGTGATGTTAACTACATCACCCACTGGGTACGCCTTATTCTATACAATCTAAGTCTAGCCCAATATGCCCAACACGCCTAAAGGCGAGAAAGGGGTCATTAAAGAAGACATCCTTCTACTATACGAGAATCGAACTCACACTAGAGTCACATTGCCCTTATAAATAGACATAAGAGCAGTTGGTTGATAAACCCCGACAATACTGAGATGTTAACGTTACTTACAGGATTTCAATGGCAACTATAGAACAGTGTTACGCATAATAAATTTATCAAAGCAAAGATGTTTTGTTTAATATTTGTCTAATAATTATATAGTTTGTCCAATAAATAACAAATTAAAATGTTAAGAGTTTAATAAATATCTAAAAAAAATTATTTTATAAATATATTGCAGATGGATAGAATGTGTGAATCGATGTGGTAGATTGGGGATTGTGTAATCAATGTGGTAGATTGGGAGGAAGATTCTGCAAATATTTTTTTATTGGGTAATAAATCAAGTAAATGCAACATCACGTTCTGCAACACAGGAGAAACAACATTGACGATGATTGCCTGCAAGAAATCAGAACATGTCTTGCTAATTACATTGATTCTGTTCCACATAATGTTGGCAGTTACATAAAATATATTAATGCAGAAGAAATTTGTGAAACGTGATTGTTTTTGTAATGCGTGCATGTGGATAAGTACTGATAACTAAGACTACCCATGATACTTAGATACAAACGGTGACATGTTCTCATTGTCATGCATAAAAAAATAAACTGATGCTAGAGCAGAATGGGCCAACAAGTCAAGACATTGTTAATCCTCTCATAATTACTGACTCAGTACTAGTACTCAACGGTGGACTGCTCAACGTTTCACCCCTGTGGTGCTGGACGGCAAGAAAAAAAAATGGAATTAACTGATTATTTGATTAATAAACATGATTATATTTAAGTTGCCTTGACAGTAACTCCCTGCAGAAAATCAGAACATCTCTTGCTAATTATTTTTATTCTGGTCTACACAATGTAGGCACAATTTGTTTCATACAAAGAAAGGCAGTTACATAAAATATATTTACAAACCAGTATATATAATAAATGCTCTGTGGCTAAGTCGATGCGAACGCTTCGCTTCGTAATGCCGGGATGCCGGGTTCGAAACCCAGCTGCGGGAAATGCGCCTTGCGTTGGTTTCGACAGTGGTATCAAGAAAGCCGACCGTCCAGTAGCAATGTCAAACTACTGGACGTAAATTGCCAAGAGAAACCACACAACAGCCAGGGGCTGTTAAGGTTAGTTCTGCGACGTCCTGTAAAGGATACGCAACTAACTTTTATATATAATAAATATTTGAAATGTGTGTGTTTGTAATGAGTGTACCTGGATAAGTACAGATAAGGTAGATCATACCAAATGCATTCTCATAGAAACGGTCAATGGTTTTTAGCACCTGCTTGTAATTCAGCAATACTCTTGGCCAATGCAGGCCTTATGTCTAAGAGAATCTGATACCAGAGTAGAAAGATCGATTGACAGAGAAGACATTGTTTCTTCCCATGTAATTACAATAGCCACTACTACCCCCTGAGCCTGGACATTTAAATGTTCCCTTCCAATGACGCTCGGGGGCAAAACTGGAAGATAATGACTATGCGAATAATGCATATGAGTATATTTAAAGTCACGTTGGCATTGTGGCTAACAGGCGTTCCTGCCGGGAAAATGGTGCCGATGCAATCTCTACTTTTGATAACTTTTCACAACCAAAATGTTATATGTTGAATTAGGATTCGACATCACACCACACGCGACATCCCCGTAAAGAGCGAAGAGTTCCAATTCCGATATCACCAGTAACTGTATGATTGTATATCCGTCTTATCCTTCCCCTGGGTGTTGAGCGCCGGCCAGATCCCCTTGTAACTCCTCGTAGCGCCATTCTCCTCACACCGTAATGATCTATCTGTGCCTCAGCACTGTTCACTCGCTCCCAAAGAGCTCTCAAAACCTTCCGCCTGTCATACATCAGTTCACAACGAAGCGGTGCACCATCTGCCAGTCTATCTGCCAGCTCAACACACCGGTATGACCTGGAGAAAATGTCCAAAGGATACTAACTACCCTGGACTTCTGAAGTGATGCTTGCCTCTCTGCACGGAGCATGCCTGTCTCCACCTTTCTCAACATGCTCTGCGAGTCAGTTACAATCACTGCGAGTGTATACTGCTGTTTCTAAAGCCGACAGAAGGCAGCAGTGACTGCCCCAACCTCCATTCGCAAACTAGATGTTGTGATATTAAATGCCAGTCTTTGCTGCGCCAAGCAACGTCAATTCACTTTTGCTATAAACCCTTATGCACATCGTTTGCCCCTTAACACAGAGCCATCCCCGCCAGATTGGATCTGAAGTCGACATGGTTTGAGACAAATGAACACCTATCTTAGAAATTGTCTGAGTACAACACACGGTAAAAGAAGAAGATGACTGGGCACATAACTCGTATGTCGTGACCTAGAATTTATGCCCAGCTTTCATCGTCATTGTAAAAATGGCCTTAATTAAAATGCAAATGAAAGCACTAACAATGTCAATTGCAGTGGGGAAAAAGAGTTATAAAGAGATTTATGGAACCTGTGTTGTTGTATACGCATGTGAGACTTGAGCAGTTAGCAAACACACTGACTGGCAGCAGAGATGTCCCATGTGAGAACAATGTGAAGAACATCGTAGAATGTTCGAAAATCAGACCAGGCAGTCATCCTCGAGACAGATGTCAACTGCAGACTGGCTAGAGAGAATAGACATCGATAGTCTGTGTTCTTGGAGCGCAGGATTGAAGAGCAGGTTAAAGGCTGAAAGTTAAACAGCTGAATGGCTTGGTTCAGACGAGGCCACTAACCTCATAAATGATTCTGTTGTTATTGTGAGATGGCGAAACATGGCGGCAGCGCTTATCGACAGCGCACATGATGATGATAATTCCATCAGCAAACAGCCACTAACAAATATAACCACATCAAATTGTTAGTGTTCAGCGGCTGTAAACTGTGACGACTAGTATTGGCTGTTCGTCCACTTTTAGACTTTGGTCTTGTTCAAGAGCTTGAGTTTTGAGTGCACATCAGTTTTTTAGGTCAGTCTTATTTGTATGTGTCGACTCTGTGGCTATGTTGATGCGAACGCTTCGTAACGCCGGGATGCCGGGTTCGATCCCAGCTGCGGGCCATGCGCCTTGCGTTGGTTTCGACAGTGGTGTCAAGAAAGCCGACCGTCCAGCGGCAATGGAAAACTACTAGACGTAAAATTTGCCTAGAAAAAACCACACAACAGCCAGGGGCTGTTGGGGTTGGTTCCGCAACGTCCTGTAAAGGACACGCAACTAACCTTATTTGTTTTTAGAATGCTAGTTTCACGCCTCGCAGACAAATGCACTCCTACTTTTAAGGAAATACCCATAATTAGTAGCCTTTCACGTCATGCTTGTTGGGGCAATGGTTCTATTTTTTCTATTCACAAAATGAGGTTTCGCAACTCACACAGAGACAAACATATTTAACATTCCATCCTGGCAATCGTGGAATAAAAAAAAATTTAACCCTTCAATTAAATTTTCCCAGGGAACGAATTCTCACAAATTCTGCGTATGCAGAAACGGGGTCAGCTGGGGTCACCAGGCCGGTTTTTACAAACAGGAAATGCCTTTATCAACAAAACCACACGGGGTATTACAAAAATTAGAAAAACTTGGCAAAGAGTAGTTGTTGTTGTTTATACCCAGTTATCGAACACTCGGACGATATGCGCAGATGATTATTGCCCTAATGATAGCAACCGCCTGCCAACTCTAAGATTAAAAGCGGCAATAAATGTTGTCTTTGGCGGCTCAAATTAGACATTATAATTGTAGATTTTTTGCGAAATAATTACAACACAATACCATTGGCACAAGCGTGCTTTTGTTTTTACCGTTCCTTTATTACTCGAGGAGCGGCTGGCCGAACTGTTAGAACTCTGGGCTCCCAAGCGGGAGACCCGGGTTCGAATCCTCGGTAAGTCTGGGGATTTTTTTTCTGTCGGGGGGCAAAATAAAACCCTCACATGCACAGTCGTGGCGACAGCACTGGCCATGTGGCCGTAGGTCCCCAGGCTCAAAGACCGCCCTGCCTACACCGCACAGGTGGTTTAATGAAGGCAGTAATTGGCAGTTTGGCTGCTGTGATGTTTTTATTCTAGTGTTGTTACTGTTTCCGTCTTGTTACTGTTCCTGTCTTGTTACCATTCTTGTTATGTATTGTTATTGTTCTTAAATTGCAAATATTGTCAGGTGGGCTAGACCGACTAGCGATCATCAAAATATTATGTCTTTGGCATGTTGAATAATGCATTCCTCACTGAATTTGGACCTGAATTCTGCATTGCGCATTGAATTCTTGACTTGAATTCTGTATTCCTCACTGAATTCTTGACTTGAATTCTGTATTCCTCACTGAATTCTTGACTTGAATTCTGTATTCCTCACTGAATCCTTGACTTGAATTCTGTATTCCTCACTGAATTCTTGACTTGAATTCCTGTATCGCTTATCTAGTTCGTGCTGGTGCTCAACACACTGGAATTCAAAGGCATATAGATGTGTTGGCAAGCAAACAGGCATACAAACAGACATTCAAACAGACAGACAGGCAGGAAAACAGGTATACAAACAGGCAGGCTGACAGGTTAAGAGGCAGACATAGAGGCAGACAGACAAAAGACAGACATGCAGTTAGGCAGAGAGACAGACAGGCAGACAGACATGTAGACAGACAGACAGGCAGTCAGTCAGACAGACCTGCAGACATGCAGGCAAACATGGAGACACGCAGACAGACAGGTGTACAGGTAGGCTGTTACACAGATAGGTAGACAGGTAGGTTGCTGGCAGGGGCGCATACGGGTAGGTAAACATGCATTGAAACAGACGGACAGGATAAAGGAAAGAGACCGGAATCATAAAAGAAAAACTGAGGACCTTATCCCAATAGCTGAAGGAACGACAAAGCGCCACGCAGCATTAAAAAACATTTAGTTGCGTATTTTTTACAGCTGAGATAGAAACCGGCACACTGGCATTACAAAGCGCGTTCGTAACGCCTAAGCCACAAACGCCCGACTAAAAGTTAGTTGCGTTTCCTTTACAGGACGTTGCAGAACCAAATCCAGCATTTTTTTAGCTGTTGTGGTTTTTCTAGGCACATTACTTCCAGTAGTTTGCCATTGCAAATACCACTATCGAAACCAACGCAAGGTGCAAGCCCCGCAGCAGGGATCGAACCCGACACACCGGCCTTACAAGGCGTGTTCGCAACACCTAAGCCACAGACACGCAGCAGTTACCTTCTTTTATAAGCGAGCTGCAAACACTTAAACGTTTTCCGTGAAGCCACGGTTGGGGTACTATAAAGATAGCCATGTAATCAATACTGAATTGTGAGAAAGAATGCAATCGACACAAAAATGGTTGTCGGAATGTGGGCAGAGCATTTCTGTGAAGAACGATTTTTAAAAATAAAGACAGCGGGGGAGGCGAAACTAACCAAAGAAAAAAACTAGTTTATCGAGAGATGAATCATCCATTGCTACGTTCTCTCGTGGTTGTGTTTCTGTGTGTGACGTCAACAGATTGGCACCGACCAACTCATCATGTCTCTTATTTTAAAGTTAGTAATAAACACTCAAAATAACGGCCTGTGTGAGTGTGTCTGTATGTCTGTCCTTGTGTGTGTCCAAGGTGACCTATCCTAAAATGGAAGCAAGATGGGGTAGGGAAATGAAAGGGCAAAAAAAAAAGGGGGGGGGGGGGCCTTACGGTTGACATAATCGGAATAGATTGTTTGAGCTTGTCCCATTTGGCTTGGTTTGTTTTCAGAGCAGTCAAGAGTGTCGCACAGGGTACGGATTCCAGTTATTTATACGATGGTCTCCCCATTTACACATCACCGGCTGTAGGTCAACTCGAGTGATAAGTTGGTTGGACTAACCTACCGTGGTCGAGGCTCTGGGTGCCGCTGTCTGTTGTCTGGTATTTACCTTTTTTTTATTTTCGAGAAAGTGACGGGTGTGACATAGGTTTTGTCACTCTCTAGGAGGTCTTATGTGTTAGACCCAGTATCTAAATGTTTCAGAAGTGGTAAAAGCTGTGTCATGGTGAAATATACAACACGCGGTGTGAGCGCGAGTGCGAAATATCCCCGTGACTTTATGTAAAAGTCGGATCGCTCGTGGCCGACCTATCAGTCATGAGGTGGTCAGTAGGTCGTCCAATCAGAAGCGAGCTAGTGTGTAGCGGTGTGTAAATGGGGAGACCAGCGTAAAATTTACCCGGCTTCCATAGCTGCAACTAAGATATCCAAGATTTATTAAAAATGAACTATACTTATGAACCGATCCAGAGGAGTAGCAAAGTTCGTGCTGGGTTGCACCAGGTGTCACCATTGAGGGAGTGACAAAATAGTACCAAAAAAAAATAGGCTTTCATGGTTTTTTTTTTTTTTTTTTACAAGTGTATTTGTATATGAACGTCTTTGTGTGTGCTTGTCTTTGTGTGTAAGCATGTGTGTGTGTGTGTGTGTGTGTGTGTGTGTGTGTGGGGGGAGGGAGTGATCAGAAATTTTCTGCACGAGACACTACTTTACCTTGCAATGACACGGAAGCGATCGAAACAAGTTTGAAAACGAACATAACTTCCTGTATACAGTCAGTTGAACGGAGTGACTGCCTCACGACATATACAAGCAAATAGTCAGGAAAGCCAACAATCACAGATGGTAGGCTGGCAAACTGTTAGAAATATATACATGCATACTGATTGAGTTCAGCTCCTTGCTAGAATCTCTCTGGAGGACGTACACCCAACAAAAATAAATGCTGGATTAGGAAACTGACCTTTGAGGAAACAGCAAAATCTGGCACATTTCATCGAAAGAGCAACGAATGAAACAAAGAAAACGAGAGGTAATCAATGTCTGCGAAGGGATTTTCCTAAAATTAATGCCGGGTATAGGTGAGATCAGGGAAACATTAGAACGCGTTGATTCCCTAAGCACTTAAACGATTTTGTTCCCCCTCCAACAGACATCTTAACAGTATTTTGGGCTCCCAGGCAAACTAGGCTGCTGGGCCCCTACTAGAGTGCTGGGCCCGCACAAACTAGGGTGCTGGGCCCCCCCAAAACTAGGGTGGTGGGCCCCTATAAACTTGGGTGCTGGACCCCTATAAACTTGGGTGCTGGGCCACTACTAGGGTACTGGGCCCCTACTAGGGTGATGAGCCCCTATAAACTACGGTGCTGGGCCCCTACTAGGGTCTAGGCCCCTATAAACTAAGGTGCTGGGAGCCTACTAGGGTGCTGGGCCCCTACTAGGGTGCTAGGCCCCTACTACTAAAAAGGGCCTCAGTACGTCTCAAAAGACCGTTCACGTGGGCTAGTTCGCAGTATGTGTTTATGAATCTCCTAACAGGCGAAAAACATCACACGTCATCTATAAAGCTGTATCAAGTCACCCAGTCTGGCACGTCTATTGATAGACCTCAATTTGTGGGGATTTTGTGAGATTTATGTCTTGATCTCTGCGATCCCTTCTCGTTTATGGTCAGGCAAAAATATTTATGAGGGTGGGGAACTTGACATGCTGGCTAACGTTCTGACCTCCCAACCTGTTGGTGGCGTGTTCGACTCTGCTTCGAGGCGGACATTTGTAACTAAAGATCTTGGTCCAGAACATTTTCTAGGAAGGTAACACATCGGCGGTTAGTCGATAGACGAGGTCACGCTGATGGCCACTGACCACATCAGAGGTTAGTGGATAGACGGGGTAACGCTGATGGCCACTGACCACATCGGCGAATCGGCGGTTATTGGATAGACGAGGTCACGCTGATGGCCACTGACCACATCGGCGAATCGTCGGTTAGTGGATAGACGAGGTAACGCTGATGGCCACTGACCACATCGGCGAATCGGCGGTTAGTGGATAGACAAGGTCACGCTGATGGCCACTGACCACATCGGCGAATCGGCGGTTAGTGGATAGACAAGGTCACGCTGATGGCCACTGACCACATCGGCGAATCGGCGGTTAGTGGATAGACGAGGTCACGCTGATGGCCACTGACCACATCGGCGAATCGGCGGTTAGTGGATAGACGGGGTAACGCTGGTGACCACTGACCACATCGGAGGTTAGTGGATAGACGAGGTAACGCTGTTGGCCACTGACCACATCAGAGGTTAGTGGATAGACGAGGTCACGCTGATGGCCACTGACCACATCAGAGGTTAGTGGAAAGACGAGGTAACGCTGTTGGACACTGACCACATCAGAGGTTAGTGGATAGACGAGGTAACGTTGATGGCCACTGACCACATCGGAGGTTAGTGGATAGACAAGGTAACGCTGATGGCCACTGACCACATCAGAGGTTAGTGAATAGACGAGGTAACGCTGTTGGCCACTGACCACATCGGATGTTAGTGGATAGACGAGGTAACGATGTTGGCCACTGACCACATCAGAGGTTAGTGAATAGACGAGGTAACGCTGTTGGACACTGACTACATCAGAGGTTAGTGGATAGATGAGGTAACGGTTATGGCCACTGACCACATCGGAGGTTAGTGGATAGACGAGGTAACGCTGATGGCCACTGACCACATCGGAGGTTAGTGGATAGACAAGGTAACGATGATGGCCACTGACCACATCGGAGGTTGGTGGATAGACGATTAAAGGTGATGGCCACTGACCACATCAGAGGTTAGTGGATTGACGAGGTAACGATGTTGGCCACTGACCACATCGGAGGTTGGTGGATAGACGAGGTAACAATGATGGCCACTGACCACATCGGAGGTTAGTGGATAGACGAGGTAACAATGATGGCCACTGGCCACATCAGAGGTTAGTGGATAGACGATGTAACGCTGTTGACCACTGACCACATCAGAGGTTAGTGGATAGACGAGGTAACGATGTTGGCCACTGACCACATCAGAGGTTAGTGGATAGACGAGGTAACGCTGTTGGCCACTGACATATCGGAGGTTGGTGGATAGACGATGTAACGATGTTGGGCACTGACCACATCAGAGTTTAGTGAATAGACGAGGTAACGATGTTGGCCACTCACCACTCACCACATCGGAGGTTGATGGATAGACGAGGTAACGATGATGGCAACTGACCACATTAGAGGTTAGTTGATAGACGAGGTTACGATGATGGCCACTGACCACATCAGAGGTTAGTGGATAGACGAGGTAACAATGATGACCACAAACCACATCAGAGGTTAGTGGATAGACGAGGTAACGCTGTTGGCCACTGACATATCGCAGGTTGGTGGATAGACGATGTAACGATGTTGAGCACTGACCACATCAGAGGTTGATGGATAGACGAGGTAACGATGTTGGCCACTGACCACATCGGAGGTTTGTGGATAGAGGAGGTAACGATGTTGGCCACTGACCACATCGGAGGTTTGTAGATAGAAGAGGTAACGATCATGGCCGCTGACCACATCAGTGGTTTGTGGATAGACGAGGTAACGATGTTGGCCACTGACCACATCGGAGTTTGGTGGATGGACGAGGTAACGATGATGGCCACTGACCACATCGGAGGTTGGTGGATAGGCGAGGTAACGATGTTTGCCACTGACACATCAGAGGTTAGTGGATAAACGAGGTAACGATGATGGCCACTGACCACATCGGAGGTTGATGGATAGACGAGGTAACGATGTTGGCCACTGACCACATCGGAGGTTGGTGGATGGGAAGATCAGGCCAGAATGCTAGAGCGAACACGCCTCGGTTAGGGCAATTAAAAATATTAGTGTGTATGTGTGTATATGTTTGTATATTTGTGTGTATATATATTTGTGTGTGTTGTTAATTGTGTATGCCTGTGTGTGTGTATGTGGATTAGATTTTCACAGAGGACTCTCTGGAGACACTGATATAGTTTTCCTGCAGTTGACGACTGATGAGTTGCTTACAGTACATAGTTTATTTCCCAAGGGCAGACAAAATAGAGCCGATGTGAGAACACCTTTTATTTCATGTCAAAGTCTACCAGATTCTTTGATGATGACTTCTTTCATCAGTCGTCCGTAATTCCAGACACTTGTTGTTGATTGAATTCTCATGTTGTTTGACTGGCCTCAAGGCTTCCTGAGCTATTGATGCTTCAGGTAAACAACCAGCTCTGTTCATTTGTCATTGTGGCTCTGTGTGCCGGCTTGTTCTACATTGATCTATGTTGATATTTTCTCCTGTTATAGGTAAACAACCGAACCGGTCAACAAGTTCTGACCAGTTGTTATTGTTAGTTTCGTCCAGTCACCTGACTTGTTTTTCTTCATGTTCTGTCTCATGTGTTATATCTCACCAGAGATCGGTGGTTACTTCCTGTGCATATTTACTGTTCGTGGCAGTTTTTGCCGCTTTTGGTTGTCGGGTTGTTTGTTTCTTGTTGGTATTGTTTGATCGCTTGCAAGGATAAGTAAAAAAGTAAAGGACCCTTTCCACGCCTTTAGGCGTATAGGGCATATAGGGCTAGACATATTTTTATAGACCAACGGCACAAGATGGGTGATGTGGTCAGCATCACGCCGGCCGCCTCTACTTTCCGGGATTGCACGCGGTACCCACTCAAGGCTGGGTCGACCTGGGAGTCAAGGTCATTTTGGAAGAAAAGTCCGTCTCCGCCAGGGAGCGAACCCACGACCTTCCGATCCGCGGCGAGCGTCTAGCCACTCGGCCACGGCGACTCCCTGCTTGCAATGATATTAGCATTTAATTAGATCTTTATAGGCAATTAGGTTTCTTGGTCTTTCTCTCTTTCTCTTCCTGTCTCTCCTCCTCCCCCTCTCTTTCTATTCTTCTCTCACTCTCTCGCTGACTCTCTCTCTCTCGCTGACGTCTCTGTCTCTCTCTCTCTCTCTCTCTCTCTCTCTCTCTCTGTTTTTAGGTATGTATGTATGTGTGTAAAGATGTGAGTGTATGTATAAATGTGTGTATGTATGCATGTACGTGTATGTATGTGGGTGTATGTATTCATGTGAGTGAAAATTGTGGGGTTGTGGGCATATGTTGGTGTCTGTACATGTGATTGTATATGTGTGTATGCATGGATGCATGTATAGGTGTGTATGTATGGAATGTGTGTGTGCATGTATATCCATAAATGTATGTGTGTGTGGTTTCTGTTTGTGCATTTAGGTCTATGTATGTGCATGTGTTTTATGTTTGTGTATGTATGTAGATGTGTGTGTGTATATATTACTAATGACTATATGAGTGTGCCTGTTTGAGAACGTTCGAGTATGTATACGTGTGTGCGAGTGTGTGCGATTGTGTACACATGGTGTGTGTGTGTGCTTTATTCTATAATTTATATTTCTTCATTATATCCATAACAAGCATTGTTGATAGCAGGCATTGGTACTCTGGAAAATGAGTGCTTAGAAGGGCCGAATGTCAGACGGGCCTGCATGCCCAATTTGTAACCCTTTGAAAATTAATGTTCGTTCGCGCTCTCTCTCTCTCTCTCTCTCTCTCTCTCTCTCTCTCTCTCTCTCTCTCTCTCTCTCTCTCTCTCTCGCTCACTGTCTCTCACACTCTCTTTTTGCACTTTTCACATTCTCGCACTAGCTATGTTGCACTGTCGCATTCTTCCTCTTCTATCTCCTCATCTCTCTATTCTCTCTCTCTCTCTCTCTCTCTCTCTCTCTATATATATATATATATATATATATATATATATATATATATAATAGCTGTGCTGAATATTCGCTTCGTATTTGCTTCGGGGCCGAATAGTGGACGTATTAACTATTCGAAATAAAAAGGTGGGATGCAGTTTTCGTTATAAAGCCCTCCCCAGTCCTTTTCTTCCTCCCTTTCTCCCTTTTGGTCAAACGCTGGTCAGATGTGAGGTCAGTTTAGATATCCTTCTTTACCACCACCATTAATTTGCTTTTCTAAAGTCTGTAAAAAAAATGGATGAACGATGTAACATATCATCGTCATCATCACCATCATAACAAGGTACCAACACCACCAACAAAGAATCATGAATGGCCACCTTCTTTCCTTATCAGCTGTCTATTTCTGTCTCCTGCTTTAATCTACTCTCTTTCAAATGTTGGTTGAGTTTAGGCATCAGGCATCATCATTTTTTTTAAACCATTTTATTATTTTTGCTTTAGTAAATGTATATGAAATATTGTAAACCGTTTTCAGCCAATAAACGAATTTAAAAAAAAAAAAAAACTATACTTGCGGTCGGACCGAATACGAATAGTGGTTACCTTGCACACACTTCTGCTGGCAACATGAAACGATTAGTTTTGTTGAAAGCTAATGCAGCTTTCATGCATTTACTAAGCTGTCAGTGACATTTTACAAGTTTGGTTACTTGTTATTATACTCAGGATACTTTCATTCCTAGACTGACTGAAGGATGCAGAACATAAAATGTTTTTAAATGTTTACTATTCTGTACGAATACTAACTAGACATGGACAGAATTTAAGGGGAGGGAACAAGCTGGAAAATCATAAATTATGGAAGTTTTCGCCAATGGTTAAAGATATCTAAATATGGTCAGATCTTTATGAAATTTTGTATGGACCTTCCTTATCTTTCATAAAAAACAATAAATCATTGAGAAATAAAGTTATATATGTTAATTTCATACTTATTTTAGGCCACATCCAAACGATAATATGAAAATCAAAAGAACGGGGACATCAGTACTAGGGTGCCAACTTCAAATGCTCCAACATGCTGGGAGAACCAATACAATCTAGGAAACAATCTGGAAATAAAGTATACTATCCGCTTCAATATCTACTAGTCAAAGTGTCTGTCTCGCAACACCAAGATCAAAATATATAAAACGTTCATTATACCAGTCGTTTTATATAGCTCTGAAACTTGAAGCACAACTAAAAGTGATGAAGCCTTTTAACAGGTTTTCGAAAAAAAAAGAGTCTTAGGATCAAATCTATGATCCCATCAAAGATGCTAATAAAGGGGAATGGAGAGTGAGAAGCAACAACGAAATTTATAATCTGTTAAAATCACCATTGATCACTGGCATCATGACAGATAATAGACAGAAATGGTTTGGATATATTGAAATAATGTCAAATGACAGAGAAGTAAACACTGTATACACAGGAGAAAGGAATGGTCGTAGACCAAGAGGCAGGCCAAGAAAAAGTTGGAGAGATAATGTCCAGACAGACCTGCAAACAATTGGTGTCACCAACTGGGATAAGAAGGCCAACCAGAAAGATAAATGGAGACGAGTGATCTATGCAGCAATGAACCTCAAGGGCTCGAAATGCTTAAGAAAAGGAAGAAGAAGAAAAAGACTATTCTGTACTACGTTATGTGAAGTAAATTTTCAGCATACATTTGACATTATAAAGTTTTTTTTTTTTTCCACATATATTTATACACTATACACTATTCGTATACGTATTCGTGTTCGGCCGAATAGTTAATCCTGTTATTCCTATTCGGCCAAATAGTTAAAATCACCTATTCGGTACAGCTCTAGTATATGCATATGTATACACACACACACACACACACACACACACATATATATATATATATATATATATATATATATATATATATATATATATATATATATATATATACATATATATGTGAAAAAAAAATCTAACTGAATACGTTCCCTGTCTAGCCGATGTTTTTCCTGAGTATTTCTAGATATCTACCACTCTTGTAGGTCGTATTGTCGATCTGGGCTCTGACACAACAGTTACATAATGAGCAAATATTGATACATGACTCACAATCGGGGATTGAACAAGATGAATTCTGTCTATACTGACGTTGCCCAGAACATCGTATTTCGTTTTGTAGTGGAAATACATCTAGAGATTATATCTCTGGGCTTATCTTCTCCGGAAGTCTATCTATGTTGATGGGTTGTTCGATTGGAAAGACACAGTGATTCGCGGCTGCATCAGATATAGTTTACCAGTGGTTCTCAAACTTCCTAACCGCTGTAGTAAACGGTTTAGTTCATATTTGAATATTACATAGCCATGGGTCAATCAGCTATGGTAAGATGTTAGATAATATACATGAAACAGCCGTGGATTTTTGTACTAAAACAAGACATAGCCATTGGTCGATCAGCTATGGTAGGTTGCTAGAGAATATACCATAGTTCTACATGAATCAGACGTAAATGTTTCTGCCAGAACAAGACATTGCCATGGGTTGATAACTATGGTAGGTTGCTAGAGAATATACCATAGTTCTGTATGGATCAGACGTTAATTTTTCTACCCGAACAAGACACAGCCATGGGTAGATCAACAACGGTAGGTTGCTAGTGAATATACCATAGTTCTGTATGGATCAGCCTTGAATGTTTCTACCAGAACAAGACACAGCCATGGGTAGATCAACAACGGTAGGTTGCTAGTGAATATACCATAGTTCTGTATGGATCAGCCTTGAATGTTTCTACCAGAACAAGACATAGCCATAGGTCGATCAACTATGGTAAATCGTTAGAGAATATAAAATAGTTCTTCATGGATAAGAGGTGAATGATTGTAGAACATAACGTAGATGTAGTCTGACCAGCTTTGACAACTTATTAGTTGAAGTAACCTAGATCAGAACAGTACAAAGGCCAGCATGTCTCGGACTCTTGCAATATTACTGATCACTTAAGTTTATTCTCACTGGCTGTTGGAGTTGTTGACACTTTCAGATACTTGCTATGGGAAACGGAGCATCTGTGATGTGCCCGGTGTGATGTGGTGTCGATTCTGAATCAGTAGTCAATAGTCAACACGTGGGAGGGAGAGGGAAGGGGCAAGGTTTAACAAGGAATGGGGAGGGAGAGAAAGAGAAAGCGGGAAACATAATGTGTCAAAAAGACAATTATTACGGAGCTCATGTTGTTTATATGGTACAAATAACTTAATTTGTGACATACAACCAAAATATCCATATTTGTCAATCCAAATGATGAGGATATTTACATATATTCTTGTGTCGCTGTATGTTTATGCATCCTAAGATGTCGGGTCTGCGAACAAGTGTGTTTGAATTCTTAGAAATGATTGACCCTACGCTTTAGACACGGGTTCGAATCTGTTTATTGGCAATACTTTTTGGGTATAGTCCTTTCTAAAGTGGTGTCTAACTTTGAATATCTGTAACCCAGTAACCATTCGGTGTCAGTTGTGGAAATGTGGCATACAACCTGCTAGTAATAATGTGCTTGTACAAACTGTGTTAATGTTATAAATTGTCTAGTTTTCATTTTGTCACATTGGCAGTGTGTGTGTGTGTGTGTGTGTGTGTGTGTGTGTGTGTGTGTGTATCATCATCATCATCAGGTGCCTTGCCGACTGGCCTGGGTGATCATGCCTCTCCATAATCTACGATCTCTTGCAGCATGTATCAGTTCGCGTGCTGACACACCTCCATGCCATGCAACAAGACTGTCAAGAA